AGAAAAAGATTATCTATGAAAGCCTTGCAGTAGTACTTGGACACTTGCCTAGAGAATAACCAGAATGTGCTAGCTTCTATTATTTCAGAGAAAAAAACAGACTTCACACTGAAGGCTTCACTAATATAGGAATATACTACTTCTGAGTTTAATAAGCTATGAAAATTTAGAAAGGTGATCTATTATCCCTCAGCTCTGCCTTACCCATGCTCAATACATTTATTTATTCCTTCAACAAATATTTTTTAACATATGTTAGGCACCCTTCTCCCTTCTCTCCCCACAGAAAATAAAATATGTTAGGCACTGATCTAGACCCTTGGGATATAACAGTAGCAAAAGACAAACTCCCTGACGTCATGGGGCACATATGCCAGTGGGGAAAGATAAACAATAAACATGCAAACAAATATTTTAAATATTAATGTGTTTCTAAGGAAGGAAATAGCAGTGTGGTTAGAGACTGACTGGTTGGAGGCTACTTAGGTGTAGGAAGCTCTCTAGAGGGAGATGAGACCAGAAAAATGAGAATGAGCCAGCTATTCAAAGAACTGGGAAAGAGCATCCCGGACAGAAGGAATAATAAGAGCAAAGAGTTTAGGATGGGAACAGGCTTGGCATATTTGAAGAACCAAAGGAAGAAGCTGGGTGGGGAGAATTGTAAAAGGTGACATCAGAGAGTTGGGCAGGGGGCCAGACCATAAAAGGCTTTGTAAGCTATGGTCAGGGTTAGAATGTTATTTTGAGCGTGATCTGAAGCCATTGAATGATTTCAAGAAGGGGATTGAAATGATCTGAAGAGATTGATATGATCCCATTTTAAAGAGATGAGTGTGGGTTCTAGGTGGAGAATGGATTGGAGGGAGCAAGAGTAGAAACAAGGAGACCAGTTAAAAGACTATTGCAATAGTACAAGAGATGATGATGGTAGGTCAGCGGTTCTCAACCTGTGGGTCGCGACTCCTTTGGGGGTTGAACGACCCTTTCACAGGGGTCGCCTAAGACCATTGGAAAACACATATATAATTACATATTGTTTTTGTGATTAATCACTATGCTTTAATTATGTTCAATTTATAACAATGAAAATACATCCTGCATATCAGATATTTACATTACGATTCATAACAGTAGCAAAATTACAGTTATGAAGTAGCAACGAAAATAATTTTATGGTTGGGGGTCATCACAACATGAAGAACTGTATTAAAGGGTCGCGGCATTAGGAAGGTTGAGAACCACTGGTCTAGGTGAAGATGATAGCACTGGAGATAGAGAGAAGCAGATGTATTCAGGTAGAGGTTACTGAACTTGATGAAGGAATGGGTTGGGGGTAGGGGTTGGCAATGAAAAAAGAGGAATCAAAGATCATTCCTAATCTCCAAATAATAATGTTGAGTGAAAGAAGCCAGAAAAAAAAAAAGTAACATACTATATGATTTTATGTATATAAAATTCTAGAAAATGCAAACAAATCTAAAGTGACAAAAAGATCAGTGGTTGCCAGATAGTAGTTGCCATGAGGGAAACTAGGGAGGAGGCAGAAGGAAGGGAGTACAAAGGAGCATTAGATAACACTTGTGGTGATGGATATGTTTATGATCTCTTAATTGTGGAGATGGTTTCCTGAGCGGGAACTTATTAAATTGTATACTTTAATGTATTTAGTTTATTGTATGTCAATTATACCTCAATAAAGTTGTTTTAAAAGGAAAACAAAGACTCCTAGGTTTTAGACCTGAGCAAACTAGTTGAATGGTAATGTCTTTTACTGAGAAGAGAAAGTTAATTCTTATGATATAGCCTGCATGCAGTCTCAAAGCCACTCTGTAGGAATAATAAGAATAATCCATCCTCCTGTAAATAGACCATATTAATTGAGAGTATAGGTCAGAGACCCAAAATAGCAATGAATGAAACAATATAGAAGTTTATTTCTCTTTGTCACAATCAACCAGGCATAAGCACTGTAGGGTAAGTATCTCATTCCACAATGCCAGAGTTCCCCGCCCCCTTCTATCTTATCTATATGTTCCAAAATGACTCCTCACCACCAGGTCCGCAGCCTAGCTAGAAGGAAGGGGAAAGTAAGGGCAAGCTCACTTCTTCTCTTTAAAGGCATGTCCTCGCCCTGAACAGTCTGGCTTGGTGGATAGAGCATCAGCCTTGGGACTGAAAGGTCCCAGGTTCGATTCCGGTCAAGGCCATGTACCTTGGTTGCGGGCACATCCCCGGTAGGAGGTGTGCAGGAGGCAGCTGATCGATGTTTCTCTCTCATCAATGTTTCTCTCTATCCCTCTCCCTTCCTCTCTGTAAAAAAAACAATAAAATGTATTTTAAAAATTTAAAATAAAATAAAAATAAAGGCATGTCCTAGAAGTTGTAATAGTTCTGTTGATATTACATTGGCCCAAAAAGAATCACATGGCCATTCGTGGCTGCAAGAAAGGCAGGGAAATGTAGTTATTATAGGCAACTATGTGTCTAGTTAAATACCAGTAATTCAATTATTATGAAAAGGAAATAGAAAATAGTTATTGTGGGGGGGGGGGGGATTAGCAGTTTCTGACATCAGAGCTTTTCAGCTTACAAAGTCATTTGATTTTCACAACTTTGAAAGATAGATAGACTCTGAAGGGTTCATTCAGTCTGAGAGGAAGTTTAGCAGAATGGTTAAGAGTATAGGCTTTGGAGTCTGACATCCTAGTCAAATTCTGTTTCCGCCAAGGATGTCAGACTCCAAGGAAAATTACTTAACTTCTCAGAGCTTCAACTGTAAAATAGACACAATAATAGTACCCATCTCATAGGTTGTTATGAGGATTAAATGCGATAATGCATGCTAAGTGCCTAATATAGTTGTACCTAATCAACATTATGTGTCAAGTATGGTGAACCTGCAGATAAACAAAAGAGCAGTTCACAGTACAGTGGGGGATTCAATAGAGAGTTATCGAAGAATATGGAAATTCTGCTGTAGAGGAAGTGACCACATGAGGTTGGAGAACACAGAGGAGAGGGCTCCTAAACCAGGAGTTTTGTAAGGAAAATAGGAGTTTGTTGCAAAAGGAAGGGAAAATGACTTCCTAGAAGAGAGACAAAACACCAAGGTGAGAGCCTGGTGTCTTCAGGGAAATAAATACAAGTTGTTTGGTATGGCTGAAGCACAGAAGCATGTTAACCACTAAGAGAAAGGGACAGAGATAGATGAGGGGCCAATGGTGGAGAACCTTCCAGGTCAAGCTCAAGAGCTTGGGTTTTATCCTGTGGTCACTGAGTGCAATGAGTGCTATAAGCAGGGGAGTGACTAGTCACATTTACACTCCAGAAGTTACCATGGCTGTTTTAGGTGAAGTGAT